GACCGGCTTCTGCTGTGTTTACCCATTTTATCCTCTACGGACATCGCCAAGGCACAGCCAAAAGCACATCCAACGTGTGCCCTGCTGACCCGACATGTTCACGCTCCTTACAGGTATTTGGATGAATGATACTTATATGAATGGCTCTCTTAATTCCTCATCGTGCTGTTTTTCAACGCATAACATACACATAGAGACAAAGAGGCAAACATCGAGACAACCGGATACGAGACGAGTAGAGTGAATAGAGAACAGCGGATATGGATACATAATTGCAGATCTACTGTCGCAGGTATAAAAATCGCGCAGACATGCCAGTATAGAGACAGAGAGCAAATGATTTCCTGCTCAACAAATGCTGGCATACATCAGGTATGCATGCACAACGGCAGGATGAACTGTGACTCTGACTGACTGACAAGTGGACAGACAGAAATGTACTCGTCCAAGCAACGGATTTTCTGCAGCTAATTCATGTTACTGCGTCCAAGCAAAGAGGTTGAGGTGACTGTGATAAGTTGCAATGATGTGTTTGGGCAGACTTCATTTTGCCGCCCTTGCCAGCTCAACGCTCGTCCAAAGGTATGCACAGGCACGCGTCCAGATTGCATTTTTCCTCATCAACCCTCCACACGAGTTCATCATCTGATGGGCATTCCACAAACTCACGTTGAGTTGCACACATAAGTAGACTTACACACAAAGGCAATACAATGCACAGGGCAAGAAAAGAGATTTCAAGTCGAAAACACGTTTGACCTTTGGCTTATCGTTGAGTTTGCATGCCACTTGACAACCTGTCCCTTGCCAACAGCTCACTACCGTGAATCCATGCTGGGCAAAGGTTTGCATCATTTTGCCAGACTAAAAAACCGGGTTAGTCAGTACGACACTCTGGGACTCCAAACTACTCATACACACACATACACCCATCCACACACACACACATACAAGCAAAGTGAGGTAATGAAAGAATGGACAAGTTAGGGCGCGGCAACAAGCCGGCTACTTTGCTGTCATCAGGCCTTGTAGTGTAGGCAATCGCTGCAGATGGCCTCGTAGGTTCACCATCCGAAGCTGTCCTCTGGAGTTGCCTACTACTTAACCTCTTGCTCTTGTCTTTTTCTCCTAGACACCAACTTAAGATAAGACTATAGATTTGTTGCCCTCTTTTACGCTGTATTAACTGTGAACCTGTGTGTTGGGAGACGCGCTCGAGTGGAGATGGATGAGGTGCCTACGATCCATGACGCCTTGATGCGCTCTTCTTTCCCTCCTGCAAGTCGGCTACCCTCCAGATTCATTTGTCCGTCCCGGACTGGGTGCAAAAACCACCCACAAAGTCGCACCTTCACAACAGGACGTCCTCACTTTGTTCCGCATACTTCATGTGAGAAAGCAGAAGCCAAGGGTGTTGTAACTTTGGGCTTGGCCGGCCACACACACACAGAAACACACACATACTCACACATTGCTGTTAGTTAGTCAAGCATGAGCACATACTCAGTGATTACAACGTACCAGATTAGTTTGTAGTAGGTTTGACCCTGTTACAAACAAGAGGGTTGTTCCTACTGCGTCATGTATTCTTGCAACTTCGGACTGCTGACTCGACCAATCGGCAGCAAATCCAAATCGTCGATGCTGAAGACGATCAGAATGCAAAATATGATAAATCTTGGTCTCAGGATAGCAATGATCCCGATACAAATTGAGGTCAAGAAAATGGTGCGGGAGGTAATAAAAGAAGACATATTGAAAGAGATGTTTAATTGTGAAGATATTTCGTAAAAACGAAAGTATCACTAGGAGACAGGAGGTATAAGCAAAGTAGTCTGTCAAAAATAATCAGCATTTAAACTCACCACTTTACTAGACAATTAGAGGTTTTGATGTCTATTGGTGGCACCCATGGCGAGCCAATGTCTAGCGTATGACAAAAGTCTTAGAAAGAGAAGTGATCAACGCAACTCGGATTGATTACGTCACAGGCAACATTAACAGTAAACATTCTGGAACTTGGTGAGTATACTTTTATCGAAGATATGAAACTCAAGATGGTGGGACCTCTATTTTGGTCACAGTCTCTATTTGTTGCCCGGACGTGGTTCGACCTCGTTTTTCCAACTTGGTCATGCTTTCAGGTGGGGTATAGATGAATGCATCCTGTCCGTAGTCCTCTGCCAGAGACCTCGTCCAGGTCGCATCAGCACCCCCAGCCAGACCAGAACCAGGCTGGTACAACATATAATTTCGATAAGATACCACCATGCCACACTGCGACAAGTGCCGGTCGGTCATAGAATACAAGTTACTTTCATGGCAAGCTAAACCTCTCCTCTACCCCCTTTTATAGCCCATTATAGATGAAAATAACTTGTAATGAGATGTATTCACCCT